TTAAAGAAGACAATCCTTTCATCTTTCAAAACCCACAACCCATTAGAATTATTTTTAAGCTTGAAATATTTTACTCCTTGCAAATTGAATAAATATGTATGGAAGATAAAATGGAGCAAGGGAAGATTATGTAGATAAAAGAACACATTAAGAAATAGGTAAGTGGAAAAATTATAGATATCAATTTAGATGAAAAAAATCTAGATTGGGTAAGAGCTAATTTGAAAATTATACGACTTGATCACATTTTATGGTCTATTAATAGAAAGTATTTATTAATGAATGAGAACCTTACAAAATAAGACAGAAATGGGGAAATATTCTTTTCAAAATGAAAATCTATTTTTTGGAAACTTTTGTTAATTTTTATTTTTTTGGCTGAAAGTATGTCAAGGTATATATATGAAGTATATGAATTTATGCTAAATCTGAAAAGAGAAATCATGAAACTTACCTTGGGATACAAATATATTTTGATGGCCATAGATCATCTTATATGATCTAAGAGCTGTCCATCTGAAAACATTAAATTTAGGACTGCATGGGAGGCAATCCATGGTTTTTATTTTATTTTGTTTGATTTTTTTAAGCTTTTTTTTTCTTAGAATTTTGCAGTACTTGTTTCTATATTTCATTTTTTGAAAAAGTGCAAGAGGAAGAGTGTAAGATGAAGTGGAAATTTAAAAATGAGGATGAGGTGGTCTTTTTGAGCTTTATCATTTATGAAAATATTTTTAATACTTAACTTTGCATATATGCATGCTTCATTTGAAAATTATATTTTCTGTATATTCTATTTTGAGTTTTTTGTGTCATTGAGGACAATGTCATTTTTAAGTTGGGGGTGAAGTATTAATTATTAATTTATACTATAGGACAATTAGAAACATGTGTTTGCATTTTATTTTTATTTTTTCATGCTCACTTAGAACAACAACTAAAAAAATAAAAATAAAATAATAATAAAAAAAACTACAACATCTATTTTCTAGTTTTCTATTAGGAACAACAGACTATCAAAAATAGTAGACAAAAAAACAACTTGAAATTTGAAATTCTAGAGACCCTTTTCTTACATTTTAATCCCCTATACATATATTACGAAAATTCGAAATTACAGCTATAAAGAGAATAGTTTTGATTTATTCTTGACAAATTTATTGTTGTTAAAAATAAAACTGAAAGTAGAAAATAGAAAATAGAATTGTCAGAACTATCTAATTTACAAATTTCTTACATCATATTGTATGCATGAAAAATGAAATCAATTAAATTGATTGACACTAAAAGATACTAAGAAAATTATTATTGAGTCAAAAGAATGATCTAGTAGCATGAAATGTTGGAATACTCCTTAGATACATGATAAATAATATGAATTTGATTTCACAGATTTTCACTTTATGATTTTGATGGATAGTATTTACTTGATATGAAAATTTGATTGATCATTTGAGTTTAATGGAGTTTTTTGCACCTTGATCTATACAACTTGTGAGGAGAAATCACTTATTTTGAAAAAAAAAAGAGAAAGCAATGTAAAAAATCTAAAAATGAAGAGTACATATAGAGGGTGTGAGACATCATTCTCATTGTTGAAAAGTGTGCATAGAAAAACACTTGCTGCAAAATAAATAGATGAAGTGAATGCTTTGAAAATGAAAAGTACATATGGAGGATGTGAGACATCATTCTTATTGTTGAAATTTGTCTACGGGAAAAACTACTCATCCAATATATATATATATAATAAGAAAAAAATCTAGTGCAAACTTCAAAAATCAAGCCACAGAAAAAAGAAAATAGAGGATCAATATTATTCTTGGATGAGTATTATTAATTGAAATATCTTGTAAATATATCTATGAGTGAAGAAGTGATAAAGATGTGAATAGAAGAAGTGAAGTCTAGATTGTTATTCCAAAGAGTGCTTAAATATTTAAGTGCTTGACATCATTCTTAAATACTTGATATAAGAATCCAAAGTGTCTAAAGGTGCATCATTTTTAATTATATTTTTTTTCTGTATTGAAATATGATGTTTGAGATTTATAAATTTTTATTTTCATAATTCCATTGCTAAGAGACTAACAATGATTTAAGTTGGAGGGTGTGATAAGTCTTCATTATCATGAGTTAATAATTAATAAATAATATAATTTTAGCTTTAACTCATGATAATAAACTTATATTTCTATTAAAGTGTAAAAAGTAGTTTTTAGTTGATTAATGTGAATTTTTAGGTAATTATGTAATTTTATACGAATTTATATGATTTTCAGTCTTACTTTTGAGATAAATGAAGAAAAGAAATAAAAATAAAAATAAAATAAAATGGGGGGGACCTGCCAGCCAGCCAGGCCCACAAACGAGTTGAAAGTGTAGTCGAGGAGTAGCTGTAAGTAGAGGCTCGAGCGGCTTGGACCGATAGGGGCACGTGTGCGCCATTCCCCTTCCATGTCACTAGTGGCTAGTCAGTTGTGGGGCAAGGAGTGGTTGTACATGCGAGAGAAAAGAACTTGCTTTCAAATATAACATTACTATATATTCACTCAAAAGTTCAGCGCACAAGCAATGTGGGACTAAACCCACATCACACCTTTCCCAGAAAGGGGCGAGCAACCGGCGTAGGTTCGAATCTTCTAAGAGTCAAAACTCATATTTTTTATCTGATTATCGCAACTTTCCTATAGATTGTCAGTGAAGGATTAAGCAACCAGAATCACTAGATCATTAGTGAAAATCTTGTCAACACGATTTGTAGAGCATTGTTACTAAAATTATTGAACAATTCGCGATAAAAGGATCACGAATCCATCGAGTAAAGTATCTCCGATTGATTGACGAACAAGCCGTCGTCGGGAAGAGGAGGATCGGTCGGGAGACAAGTCGCCACCTTCTGAGAGCATACTGGATGTGATAAAGAGCCTCCTCTTGCTGTGTGGACCTGAGGATAAAGTTTCTTGACAAGCACCCCACTTCCATCCAACTCCTCTCCGTCAGATGACAATTGTCTGAGAGCTGTAAAGTTGCCGTTTTTTTGCTCTACTAGGTGACAGCCGTCGGAGATGATTCAACGACTCATTTCATTGATCTGTAAACTTTGCAAGGAGATCTAGAGATTGCCCATGTCGTCCTTGTCTAGGGAAAGCCTTCAAGGCCGTGGACACTATATGACGATCCTCTTGAAAGCACAGGATTTCAGTACATCATTGACGCATCATTGTCGTGACGCCGGAACTTTATTTTCTTGCTTTCAACTTACTTTCTGCTTCATTTAGTGATAATTTGTGTGATTTAAATTTACCAAGATGTACATTCAATCATGATTCTTTCGGCTTTTACAAATCTTAATTTGATCAAGTAAATCGTGTATAATTGCTTATGTAAGAATCACTAGGAAGAACTCTATTTCCGTCTGATTTGCATTCGCTGGGAGCTAACATCATCTTGAAGTCTGCACCCTTATTTCTCTTTTTTGTGAATTTTAAATATATTTTTTTCATTTCTTAGTATAAACTTCATAGAAAATAGTATTCTTTGAGACAAAATCTGAATAATTACCAGATATTATATTAGATCTCTATGATCGACCTGAAAAATTACTACTATTTTTGAAAGTTTTATTGAATTATAATTGATATATTTGTTCAAAAATACTTCTAAATATCTGAAAATTTATATTTTCTAGTTTTATAAATTTTTAATTTGCGTGATTTACTATACAACGACTAAGTCACGCCACTATCTAAACCAAGGGTATCAACAATACCTAAAACTAAATCTCAAGAATTTTAATGTTAGCCTTGTAAACTTCATATTATTTGAAGTACATTTTCGTTTTATTATGTTACCTATGTATGCTCATATATGTGAGACAAATATTGATCTAAAGTTGTGATGAAAGGTAATGTGTTAATTTCTAACATAACTTGTACTATGAATGGCATAATGAATGAAACAATGAGTGAGATATATAGGTCAATAGATCATAACTCTTGCGTACAAGAATAAATTACTCTATTAATTAACATGTGTAAATGCAAACAACATTGGATATGCATTTTGGGAACAACTTATATCCTAAATAGAAACAAAAGCATATATTAATCATGATAATAAATTATATAATGAACAGAAATAAAAGCTTATATTCATTATGATAATAAAGTATATCATGAACATAAATAATGTGTTAAAATTAGGCAATACATTGTGAAAAAAGTAAAAGCACTAACATAGTCTATTGTGAATACATATGATAGGGTATATAATTTTTTGTGATTTTCCCATAAAACTAGGAGGAAACTTGAGCAGCAATGCTTGAAATGGTGGATCTAAGCTAGGGCTAAACCACTCTAAAACCATGCATGCATTTGCTTGGGTTTTCTGCCCCTTTCTAACAGCTATAAAAGGTTTGTACATCATGGTAAATGAGAAGATAATCAAATTGAGAAAATGGAGTATCTTTTATATTTAGATATTAAGTGATATGGAAACATTTATTGATTAATTAAGTTCTTCTTGAGTCCAGTACATCTTTAAGTACAAATTACAAGTAAAGAACTGAATTCAAAACCAACTAAGTTACAAGATTTAAATTTGGTGATCAGAAGATTTAAATCTACAATAGTAGTTACGTTTAATTCTACTCACAATATACCCCCTTTAGCCTACTTATGTCATCCTTGAATCTTTAGTGACTAGATTACTTTCAGTCAACCACTTTCTTTGATCCAACCTATTTGATACTTTATCACAACAATATCACTCATCCATTGGTCCTATGTTTCTTGCCTACCATTTAAATCATGATACTCTTTTACCTTGAGTGAAAATGCATACCACTAACAATAACATATTATAAAATTACAGCCATAAGGAAAAAGAAAAGTTATAGTATTAGTATTATTGAATCACTAGAGTTTATTGTCTCTCATTCAGTATTTTTATTTTATGTCTTTTGGATCTAACAAAAGATATCTACCAGGTTTACATTCATGGATTATCATAAGAAGGCTTTATTGTGTTGAGAAGTAGATAACCTTCATGCATTCACATTCTCAACATCTTGTTAGCTTACAACCAGAAAATCAATTGATCACTCTCATTTCTCATTCCTCTTGGCATAGGGCAGCCCCACTTGTTATTGAATTCATCTCAAATGAACAATGTTCTTTTCGAATAGGTAAAAATATATGATGATAGAAAGATTGAATCATTATAGCATTCTATAAGATTATCTTCTTGTAAAGACTAGAGATGAATGAAATGGGTCGTCAAATTGTCTCTAAGAGCTGTCACTCGATAGAGTGGAAAAATGGTAACTTTGTGGCTCCCCGGTGACTATCACCTGACAGAAAAGAGCTAGGTGAAGGTGGGGTGTGTGTCAAGAAGCTTCATCCTCAAGTTTGCATAGTAAGAGAAGGCTCTTCATCGCACCTGATATGCTCTCAGAAGGTGACGACTTATCTCCTAACAGATCATCCTCTTTCTGACGATGGCTTGTTCGTTCATCAATTGAAGATAATTTACTTGATAGATTCGTGATCCTTTTATCGTGAATCATTCAGTAGTTTTAGTAACAATATCTTACGAATTACATTGGTGAGATTTTTGTCGATGATCAAATGATTATGGTGGCTTAATACTTCATTAAGGATCTACAAAAAAAGTTATAATTTAATCAGATAAAAATATGAGTTTTGACTCTAGTAGGATTCGAACCCATGTCGGTCATCTGCTTACATAGGAGAGTGAAATAAGTACTTGAATATCCTTATACAATGACATCATCATGGTTTCTCATTGTTATAAATAAAGGGTATTTTTGGTATTAAAATCTTCAAAAATATTATGGAGAAGGTGTGACCACTGATTTAGTCTCACATTGATTGTATGACAAATGTTGAGATAAATATATAGTAATACTACATTTAGAAGTAATGAATCCCTTTCTCACATGTGTACAACCACTCTTTGCCCTATGTCTAATTGGCCACTAGTGACATGGAAGGGGAGTGACACACACATACCTTCATCAATCCATATCTGCTTGAGCCCCGACTCACGACTCCATTCTGACTATCTACTAGCACCTATGTTGGGTTTGATGTGGCTAACTACTAAAAGGGGGGGGGTGGGAGAGGCGTGAATTGATTTTCTATATTTTCTAGTTCTATCTACATGTATATGTGTTGACACATATTCTAACATAATTCATTTGATATGTATATAGATTCATCTAAGTTGGTTATTGATAAGTCTTCATTATCATGAGTTAATAATTAGTAAATAATACAATTTTAGCCATAAATTATGATAAATAGAGTTATATTTATGTTAAAGTGTGAAAAGTAATTTTCAATTGATTATCGTAAATTTTTGACTAATTATGTGATTTTCTACGAATTTATATGATTTTTATAGTCTTATTTTTGAGATAGATGAAGAAAAGAAATAAAAATAAAAATATAACAAAATGAGGGCCCACTAGCCAACCGAGCCTTCAAGCGAGTCAAAAGTGCAATTGGAGGGAGCCGCAAGCAAGGGCTCAAGCGGCTAAGGATTGATGGGGGCACATGTGCGCCACTCCCCTTCCACGTCACTAGTGGCCAATTAGTTGTGGAGCAAAGAGTAGTCGTACACAAGGGAAAAAGAGACTCATTGCTTAGAAATGTGATATTACTATATATTTGTCTAAAACTTTGGCACACAAATGATGTGGGACTAAACTAGTGGTCACACCATTCTTAAAATGTTTTTAAAGATTTTAATACCTAAACTACCCCTTAGCTATAATAGAGATATCTAATAAGTCTTCATTATTATGAGTTAATAATTAGTAAATAATATAGTTTTAGCCTTAACTCATGATAAATAGATTTATATTTGTGTTAAAGTATGATATGTTGTTTTCAGTTGATTAACGTGAATTTTTGGGTAATTATGTGATTTTATACGATTTTTACAATCTTACTTTTGAGATAAATGAAGAACAAGAAATAAAAATAAAAATATTACAAAATAGGGGGACCCGCCAGCCAGCTGGGCCCGCAAGCAGGTCAGAAGCGCAGTCGGGGAGTAGCCGCGAGCAGGGGCTCGAGCGGCTTAGCTTGGACCGATAGGGGCACGTGTGCGTCACTCCCCTTCCACATCACCGGTGGCCAGTCAGCTGTGGGGCAAGGAGTGGTCGTACACGCGAGAGAAGGGACTTTGCTTAGAAAGCTAACATTACTATATATTCGCCCGAAAAATCAGCGCACAACCGATGTGGGACTAAACTCGCGTCACACCTTCCTCACAGGCTGGCGACCGGCATGGGTTCAAATCCTCCTAGAGTTAGAATTCATATATTTTTATCTGATTATTACGACTTTCCTACAGATTGCTGGTGAAGGATTAAGCAACGAGAATCGCTGGATCATCGGCAAAAATCTTGTCAATGTGATTTGCGGAGCATTGCTACTAAAATTGCTGAATGATTCGCGATAAAAGGATCGCGATTCTATCAAGTAAAGCATCTCCGATTGATCGACGAACAAGCCGTCGTCGAGAAGAAGACGATCCACCGGGAGATGAGTCGCCACCTCTTGAGAGCGTACCGAATGCGATGAAGAGCCTCCTCTTACTACGCGGATTTGAGGATGAAGCTCCTTGACACGTGCCCCACCTCCATCTAGCTCTTCTCCGTCGGGTGACAGTCGTCGGAGAGCCGCAAAGTCATTGTTTTTCCGTTCCACCACGTGACAGCCGTCGGAGACGATTCGACGACCCATTTCATTAATCTCTAGACTTCGTGAGAAGATCTAGAGATTGCCCACGTCGTCTTTGTCCAAGGAGAGCCTTCGAGGCCATGGACACTACATGACGATCCTTCCAAATGCTCAGGATTCCAATGCATTGCCAATGCATCGTCATCGCGACGTTGGAACTCTATTTTTCTACTTTTAATTTACTTTACGATTCATTTAGTGATAATTTTTGTGTTTTTAATTTACCAAAATATACTTTGTTCTATTACGATTCTTCTGGCTTTTACAGATCTTAATTTGATCAATTAAATCGTCTGTAATCGCTTATGTAAGAATTGCTGGGCAGAACTCTGTTTTTGCCCGATTCACGTTTGCCGGGCAGCTGACGTCATCCTGATGTCTGCACCCTTATTTCCCTTTTTTGTGAATTTTAAATATATTTCCTTTTTATTTCTTAGTATAAAATTCATAGAAAATCGTATTCATTGAGAAAAATTCTAAGTAATTACCAGATATTATATTACATCCTTGTGATCCACCTAGAAAATTACCGCTGTTTTTGGAAGTTTTATTGAATTATAATTGATATATTTATTTAGAAATACTTCTAAATATCTGAAAATTCATATTTTCTAGTTTTATAAATTTTATATTTGTGTGATTTAGTATACAACAACTGAGTCATTTCAAATTTTGGTGCCATTGTCAGGGATGTATTGCATAATATTTAGTATTTTTCTATTTTTCTCTTAGAGTACACAAAAAAAATTTAACTCTTGTTTTATTTTCTTTTTGCCGATTTTTATTAAAAAAAGAGAACAAAAAGAAGTACAGCAAGGACTGGAGCATCCTGAAGGAGGGTAACAGTTACTAACTTTTTCCCTCGAGTTTATTGATTTTTATGCATGGTAGAAGATCCTTGCATCCAAGGCTAGAAAATCCTTTCATTATTTCATTCAAAAATAAAAATTCGAAAGAAAAATTAATTTTGATGGATCCTAAAGGAAGTACAGGTCAAACTGAGAACAATCCTATGGCCATGAAAAATTATTATATCCCTGATTCATTTCAAAGAGCATCCAATATTAGAGTCCCATTAGCACCCACTATTAAATTCGAAATAAATCCAAGAATTTTTCAAATGCTTCCTAATTTTCATGGGTTGCCTTTAGAGGAACCTCATCAGCACTTAGAAAAATTTCATATGATCTATGATTTAGTTAATCTCCCTCAAGTTACACCAGAAATTATTAAGATAAAATTATTCCCTCATATACTTAGGGACAAAGCTAGTCATTGGCTATCCACATTAGATAGAGAATTAACTAGCTGGAAAGATATAGAACAGGCCTTTCTTCGAAAATTTTATCCCTTAGGAAAAACTCAAAATATGAGAAAACATATATGGAGTTTTTCTCAAAGACCAGGAGAAACTTTGCATGAGACATGAGAAAAATTCAAAGATTTACTTAGAAAGTGTCCTCATCATGTTATACCCAAGTGGCAGCTCAATAGAATTTTTTATGATGGATTATTAGAACAATATAGAAATATGGTTGATTTTATATGTGGAGGAGCTTTTATGGAGAAAACTCCTAATAAGATTTACAGTTTTTATGATAATTTAAGTGAAAATTTTAGAGATCAAGCCTCTTTTGAATTATATGACAAGGATAAGAAGAGAGGAATTTATGAATTGCATCATGATGATGATTCTAAACTTAGAAATGAGGTTAATCAGATTAATCAAAGATTAGAAAAAATTGATTTACTTATTGACAATATTAGAAAGCCTTTTAACCCCCAACTTAATTCAAATAGTACATGTCCTATGTATGGTGAAAATGATTATTCTAAATTTCAATGTTATAATTTAGATCAATCATTTCACCTTATGCAAGAACAAGTGTAAGTAGCTCACGGTTTTAATAGAAACACATAACCTTTTTTAAATTCTTATAATCCTAATTGGAGAAATAATTTTTCATGAAGAGACTCAAATAATATTCAAAATTCAGAAGCACTTGGATCCAATTCAAACTCTGAATTTTGTCCAAAACAAGAAAATAGATTTAAGAAAAATCAGTCCTCTCAAATCCAACCTGATGCTATGGAAATGATGCAGCAAATGAGCCAAATGATGCAATAAACTATGAATCAAATGATGCTGCACCAGAAACAAATTATAGAGGCTCTTGGGAATAAGAGAGAAGAGGGACAACTACCTAGTTAGCCCATTGATAATCCAGGGAACCGCCCAACAATAGGATTTCAGCAAGGGGAGTCTAGTAGCATGAATCTAGGAAAAAACCCATGAAATGAAAAATGTTAGGACAGTGAATGGATTAAGAAGTGGTAAGATCTTACTTGATCCTTATCCCCAAAACATTAGAAGAAAAAGAAAACGTGGACAAACCAAAACAAAATTAAATAGGAGTAGAAGAGGATTTTATAGATTCTACCAAGAAAATTTCGAAAGAGAGGACGACTATTCTATTTCCTAAAGCTCTAGAGCCTAGACAAAGAAAGAAAAATGAACACAATGAAGAAATAAAGAAAATTTTACAAGATGTGCAAATTAGTCTTCCTTTACTCACTGCCATTGAACATATTCCTAAATATGCTAGAGTTTTGAAAGAAATGTGTACATCAAAAAGGGCACCTAGAGTAGAAAAATTATCTATGCATGCTAGTGCATTATTATTAAATCAATTACCATATAAATTGAGAGATATAGGTGCCCCTTTAATTTCGTGTGATATTAGTGGATTCATTTTTTAGAATGCATTACTTGACACCGGTGCTAGTATTAATTTATTAACTGCAAGTATTTGTGATAAATTTAATATTTCTAATCTTAAACCTTCTACTGTTACCTTATAATTTGCTGATAGATCTATAAAAGATCCGAAAGGTATTTTAGAAAATGTGATAGTAATAGTTAAAGGGTGTAAATTTCCAGCTGATTTTGTAGTGCTGGAAATGAATTTTAATGGACAGTTTTATGATACACCAATCATCTTAGGGAGACCATTTTTGCATACAACAAAGATAACTATTGATTTTCCCACAGGTATTGCGAAAATTTCATGTGAAGATTGACGAGACTAAATTGTATGGTCATTGAATGCACATGATTCAGTGTCAAAACAAAGTCCTAATCTTACCAATTTATGATTAATCAAAGTAATTAATTAGTATAATGGTAATTAAGGGTCGAATCCATGGAGAATTAGGGAAATTTGAGAGATATCTTTGAAATTCGGTCAAATCGGATGATGAAATTAGGTTAGAAATTGGGCAATTTAGTATAAGAAAGATAACTCAATTTCGAATCCACGGAATCAAAAGTCAGGTGATTTGAATGAGAATTCGAAGAGTAATCGAAGTTTGAAGTTTAAGAGAAATTTTCGTATCGCGAAATGATTAAAAAAACAGAAATTAAAACTAAATTAAACTTAATCTACAATACTTAAAGTAAAATTAACACTAAATGATGAAAGATTAAGATTAAAACAAACAATCTAACCCAAATTACCCTTCGAAATGATCCAATTAATCGCCGGATGCAAGGCTTTTCATTCCGAATTTTCGAAGACGAAAGAGGAGTTCAAGACTTGATTTCTTCCAATTCTTCCAATAAAACATTAAAATTAAACATCCAACAGAAGCGGAAATGAGTTGCGAACACAATGCAAAAGATATCGCGCGAATTGGAGCTCTAAACAAAGAGAATTTGAAGATTGATCGCGGCAGTTCTTCCGTCGCGAAGAACGGATTTTATAAAATTCGGAAATGATCGTGGCCGTCCGATCTGATGGAGTCGATCACGATGGACGATCGCGATGAGACGCCTCTTTACGAATCGTCGCGACGATTCGACAAACGTCCGATCGTGATCGTGCGGTTAAGATGTGATTGGATGTCCATCTGATGTGAATACTCTGGACCATTATAACTCTCAATCAGACGGTTGAGATTTATTCACTTAAGTGAGTATTTAGGCACGTGGTTGATCTCTGATCGCGTGGACCTTCGTTCCACGTAATCTACGCACGCTATTTGTCGCAATGTCGATCGGACGCACGAGATCACGCCACGCGTCCTGCACATAAGAAAACTAAGGGACGATTAAGAGGGATTAATACTTTGTCTACTGATAATCGGAAGACCTATATACTTTATTAAATAAATATATATAGTAAAAATTAATAAGCCACGTGTCACATCAGCGCCACGCAGGCGCCCGCGTGCTGTCCACGTGGCCCCGAGTACCACGTCGCATCCACGTGTATCCGGCGACATAAAACATTTAAAAATCGAAAATAAATATAAATAAATTCAGAAAAAATCCAGAAAATTCTATAAAATTGTAAAAATCATAACTTTCAAAATACGACTCCAAATTAATTCAATTTTTTTTTTTGGATTCAAAATTGAATAATCTATCATTATAAAAAGTCAAATTATTAAAATAAGAAGAAAATAAATTTTAATTAATTTTATACTTTTATGTATTATATAAAATAAATTTATATAAATACATAAATGTTAATAAATATCTTTTCTCTCATATTTTTACTCTTAAAACATGATTATGATCATAAATATAATTAGGATTAAAGATTTTAATGTGCAATTATTTATAATAATCCATAATTTGGTGTATTTTAAGGTCATAACATGAATTTACACAAAATGATAGAAATATACTTAAAATATGATAACATGAATATATTTGTAATGATTAATACCTTAATTTGCATTAATAATTCTATAATTGTATGCATAAATAGCATGTTATCAAAGATCAATCAGTAGAAATTAAAATTTTTTGAGGTACCAAATGATCTTAAGAAATCACAAGTATATGATTGTCATACCATAGATCTTCTAGATGATTTTGATGATCCAGATGTTATTGATGATTGTGTGCTAGAAGAATTAGAGGAAATAGAGAATATAAATTTGAGAGAAAAGAAAGAAGAAGATCATTTGAATTTAGAGTTGAAACCTCTTCCCTCTAGTTTAAAATATATGTTTTTAGAGGAAAATAATTCATTTACTATTATTATTGCAGCTGATTTGAGTGATGAACAGGAAGAAGAATTATTAGATGTACTTCGAAAAAATAAGAAGGCTATGAGCTGGAAAATGGATGATCTAAGGGGCATTGATATGAGTGTATGCATGCATAGTATATATCTAGAGGAAGGAACCACAACGAAGATTAAATCCTAACATGATGTAAATTGTAAAAAAAAGAAATTTTAAAGTGGCTGGCTGCTGATATTATTTATCCTATTTTAGATAGCAAATGAGTTAATCCTACACAAGTAGTGCCAAAAAAATCAGGGATCACAATTATAAAAAACGAAATGGGGATGAAATAGAAACAAGACTAACTACCGGTTGGAGAGTTTGCATTGATTATAGAAAATTAAATTCAGTTACTAGAAAAGATCATTTTCCCCTACCATTTACTGATCAAATTCTAGAAAAATTAGCTAGAAAAAACTTTTTTTATTTTCTAGATGAATACTCTGGTTATAATCAAATTTATATAAACCCTTTAGATTAAGAAAAAATAACTTTCACTTGTCCATTTGGTACTTTTGCTTTTAAACGCATGTGTTTTGGTTTGTGTAATGCTCCAGCCACATTTCAAAGATGTATGTTGTCTATTTTTTCTAATATGATTGGAAAATGCATAGAGATTTTTATGGACGATTTTTCTGTTTTTGATGAATCATTTGATGAATGCTTAAATCATTTACAGCATGTGCTTGAGAAATACATAGAGAAAAAAATAGTTTTGAGTTGAGAGAAATAACATTTTATGATTAAAGAGGGAGTTGTATTGGGTCATATTGTGAGTGAAAGGGGTTTAGAGGTGGATAGAACAAAAAATAATATTATATCTAAAATGAAACCTCCAAATTCAGTAAAATAGATTAGATCTTTCTTGGGTCATGCAGGTTATTACAGAAAATTTATTCAAGATTTTTCAAAAATTTCTAAACCTCTCACCATGCTATTATCTAAAGATGTGCCTTTTAATTTTGATGAGAAATTTTTTGAGTCTTTTTCTGAAATAAAAAGATTACTTACTCAGGCACCCATTTTACAAGCTCCTGATTGGTCCCTTCCCTTTGAAATAATGTGTGATGCATCGAATTATGCAGTGGGGGTTGTTCTAGGACAAACAAAAGGGTCAAAACCCATAGTAATTTCATATGCTAGTGAAACTATATCCGATGCTTAATTAAATTATACCACGACTAAAAAAGAGTTGTTAGTTGTAGCATTTTCGTTAGAAAGGTTTAGATCATATATTTTGGGAGCTAAAATTATTATTTATACTGATCATGCAGCATTAAAATATCTATTAAATAAGAAAGATACAAAGCCACATTTATTAAGATGGATTTTATTGTTGCAAGAATTTGACTTAGAAATAAAAGATAAAAAAGGTTTCAAGAATGTTGTTGATAACCATCTTTCTAGATTAAGTGATATAAGAATAAATGCAGCACCTTTACAAGATGTATTTCTAGATGAACAATTGATGGCAGCTCAACATCAACCATCACCATGGTATGCACATATTGTTAATTTTCTGGTTTCTAGAAAAACTCTAGAACAGTGAGATAAGAACAGAAAACATCATTTCTTTTCTAAGATTAGAAATTATTTTTGGCATGATCCTGATTTATATTACTTGGGCAATGATCAAATTTTAAGGAGATGTGTTCCTGAAGAAGAATATCATAACATTATTAACATGTGCCATTCATCTAGCTGTGGAGGACATTTCTCTAGATGAAAAATAGCTGTAAAAACTTTTTAGTGTGGTTTTTATTGGCCTACAATCATTAGAGATTCTATAGAATTTAGTAGAACATGTATTTCATGCCAATCTATAGTTAACATGAGTAAAAAAGATGAAATGCCCATGAGTAACATGTCAGTAGTCGAAATTTTTGATGTATGAGGAATAGATTTCATGGGTCCCTTCCCATCAGCTGAAAAATATGAATATATTTTGCTTGCTATTGATTATGTGTCGAAGTGGGTGGAAGCTATTCCTACTAGAACTAATGATCATAAAATCATGATGAAATTTGTGCAGGAAAATATTTTTTCAAGATTTGGATGTCCTAGAGTGATTATTAGTGATGGAGGAACATATTTTACAAATAAACATTTTAGGGAACTGTTGAAAAAGAATGGAGTATACCATAGAGTAGCCACTCCATATCATCTCCAAATAAATGGGCAAGCTGAAGTAGCAAATAGGGAAATTCAGAGAATTTTGAGAAAAATAGTTAGACCAGATAGGAAAGATTGGCCCATGAAATTACAAGATGTATTATGGGCTTATAGAACAGCTTATAAAAATCTCATAAGTATGTCCTCATTTTGTCTCATTTTTGGAAAGCCATGTCATCTTCCTGTGGAAATAGAGCATAAAGCATTATGGGCTATAAAAAATTTATGTATGGATGAGAAATCAGCTGGTGGGCATAGAATTTTTCAGCTACATGAACTAGAGGAGTTGAGGAATGAAGCTTATGAAAATCATAGAATATATAAAGAAAAAACTAAAACTTTTCATGATAAATACATTAGCAGAAAAAAAATTGATGTTGGACAAAAAGTGTGGTTATATGATTCTAGGCTGAAATTATTCCCAGGAAAATTAAAATCAAAATGGAAAGGGCCTTATGTGGTGGAAGAGACATATGATCATAGGGCTATAATGATTAAAGATCCTAAAAGTGATCATAATTTTAAGGTAAATGGATAGCGGCTTAAACATCACTTAGAACATAAATGCCTTGTAGAAAAAAAAAATTTATTATTAAAAAGAAATTCAAGAGTAAGACCAAGAAGTTTAGTTGGAAATATTAAATTCAGCGCTACATGGAAGGCAACCCATGGTTTTTATTTCATTCTGTTTGATTTTTTTAAGCTCTGTGTTTCTTAGAATTTTGTAGTACTTGTTTCTGTATTTGTTTTTTTTTTTCGAAAAAGTGCAGGAGGAGTGTAAGATGAAGTGGAAATTAAAAACGAAGTTGAGGTGATGTCTTTCTGAGCTTTATCATTTATGAAAATATTTTTAATGCTTAACTTTTCAGATATGCATGCTTCACTTGAAAATTATATTTTCTGCATATTTTGTTTCGATTTTTATGTGTCATTGAGGACAATGTCATTTTTAAGTTGGGGGGTGAAGTATTCATTATTAATTTATGCTGTAGGATGATTAAAAACATGTGTTTGTATTTTATTCAACTTTGAACAGCAACTAAAAAATAAAAATAAAATAAAATTCGGAAAAACTACAACATCTATTTTCTGGTTTTCTATCAGAAATAATAGACTGTCAAAAACAGCAGACAAAAAATGGCCCGAAATTGAAAATTCTAGAGACCCTTTTCTCACATTTCAATCCCCTAGACATATATTACTGAAATTCGAAATTAAAGCTATAAAGAGGATAGTTTTGATTTATTTTTGACAAATTTATTGTGCTAGAAATAGAATTGAAAACAGAAAATAGAACTGTCAGAACTATCTAATTTACAAATTTCTTACATCATATTGCATGCATGAAAAATTAAATCAATTAGATTGATTGATACCAAATAGATACTAAGAAGATTATTATTGAGTCAAAAGAATGATCTAGTAGCATGAAATGTTGGAATACTCCTTGGATACATTATAGATAACATGGATTTGATTTTATAGATTTTCACTTCATGATCTTGATGGATAGTATTTACTTGATGTGAAAATTTGATTGATCATTTGAGTTTAATGGAGATTTTTGCATCTTGATCTATAGGACTTGTGAGGAGAAATCACTTATTTCGAAAAAAAAAAAGAAGAGAGGTGAAAAATCTAGAAACGAAGAGTACACATGGAGGGTGTGAGACATCATTCTCATTGTCAAAAATTGTGCATAAAAAAACACTTGCTGAAAAATAAGTGGATAAGGTAAAAGTCCTGAAAATGAAGAGTACACATAGAAGTGTGAGACATCATTCTTATTGTCGAAATTCGTCTACAGGAAAAGCTACTTATCCACTATATATATAAAAAAAAAAAGAAGGAAAAAATATAGTGCAAACTTCAAAAATTAAGTCATAGAAAAAGGGAAATGTAAGATCAATATTATTCTTGGATGAGTATTGATAATTGGAACATCTTGTAAATACATCTATGAGTGAAGAAGTGATAAAGATGTGAATAGAAGAAGTGAAGTCTAGATTGTTATTCCAAGGAGTGTTTAAACATTTAAGTACTTGACATCATTCTTAAATACTTGATATAAGAATTCAAAGTGTTTAAAGGTGTATCATTTCTAATTGTATTTTTTTTTTCTGTATTAAAATATGATGTTTGAGATTTGTAAAATTTTATTTTTGTAATTCTATTGCTAAGGGACTAGCAATGATTTAAGTTGGGGGGTGTGATAAGTCTTCATTATCATGAGTTAATAATTAGTAAATAATATAATTTTAGCCTTAACTCATGATAAATAGACTTATATTTGTGTTAAAGTATGATTTGTGATTTTCAGTTGATTAATGTGAATTTTTGGGTAATTATGTGATTTTATACGATTTTTATAGTCTTACTTTTGAGATAAATGAATAACAAGAAATAAAAATAAAAATATTGCAAAATGGGAGGACCCGTCGGCCAGCCGGGCCCGCAAGCAAGTGAAAGTATAGTCGGGGAGTAGCCACGAGCAGGGGCTCGAGTGGCTTAGCTTGGACCAATAGGGGCACGTGTGTGCCACTCCCCTTCCACGTCACCGGTGGCCAGCCAGTTGTGGGGCAAGGAGTGGTCGTACACACAAGAGAAGGGACTTTGCTTAGAAAGCTAACATTACTATATATTTTCCTGAAAAATCAGCGCACAACCGATGTGGGACTAAACTCACATCACACCTTCCTCAGAGGTGGGCGACCAGTGCGAGTTCAAATCCTCCTAGAGTCAAAATTCATATATTTTTATCTAATTATTGCGACTTTCCTGCAGATCGCCGGTGAAGGATTAAGCAACGAGAATCGCTGGATCATCGACGAAAATCTCGTCAATGCGATTCGCGGAGCATTGCTACTAAAATTGCTAAACAATTTGCGATAAAAGGATTGTGAATCCATCGAGTAAATCATCTTCGATTGATCGACGAACAAGCTGTCGTCGAGAAGAGGACGATCCATCGGGAGATGAGTCGCCACCTCTTGAGAGTGTACCGGATGCGATGAAGAGCCTCTTTTTACTGCGGGGACCTGAGGATGAAGATCCCTGACACACACCCCACCTCCATCCAGCTCCTCTCTATTGGTTGACAATTGTCGGAGAGCCACAAAGTCACCTTTTTTCCGCTCGGCCACATGACAGCCACTGGAGACGATTCGACGACCCATTTCACTCATCTCTAGACTTCGCAAGAAGATCTAGAGATTGCCCACGTCGTCTTTGTCCAAGGAGAGCCTTCGAGGCCGTGGACACTACAAGACAATCCTCCCGAACACTCAGGATTCTGGTGCATCGTCGACGCATCACCGTCGCGACACCAGAACTCTATTTTCCTGCTTTCAATTTACTTTACGCTTCATTTAGTGATAATTTTTGTGTTTTTAATTTACCAAAATATACTTTGTTCAATTACAATTCTTCTGGCTTTTACAGATCTTAATTTGATCAATTAAATCATCTGTAATCACTTACGTAAGAATCACTGAGTGGAACTCTATTTCTGCCCAATTCGCGTTTGCTGGGCAGCTGACGTCATCTTGACGTCTGCACCCTTACTTCCCTTTATTGTGAATTTTAAATATATTTCCTTTTTATTTCTTAGTATAAAATTCATAGAAAATCGTATTCATTGAGAAAATTTTTGAATAATTACCAGATATTATGTTACATCCTTGTGATCGACCTAGAAAATTACCACTATTTTTGAAAGTTTTATTGAATTATAATTGATATATTTATTTAGAAATACTTCTAAATATCTGAAAATTCGTATTTTCTAGTTTTATAAATTTTATATTTGTGTGATTTAATATACAACGACTGAGTCACGTCAATATACCATGATAATGTTACTTGATAAAGACATTAGAGTACTTATTTTAATCTCTCTTATACAAACAAGCAACCAGTGTAGATTTAAATCCTCCTAGAGCCAAAACTCATATTTTTTATCTGATTATCATAACTTTCTTGCAGATCGCAAGTGAAGAATTAAACTATTAGAATCGCTAAATCATTGACAAAATTTTTGTTAACATGATTTATGAAACATTGTTACTAAAATTATTGAACAATTCACGATAAAAAGATCGTGAATTCATCAAGTAAATCATCTCTGATTAATCGACGAATAAGTTATTGTTGGGAAGAGGACGATCTTCTAAGAGATAAATCATCACCTCTTGAGAGTGTACTAGATGCGATGAAAAGTCTTCTCTTGCTGCACGGACCTAAAGATGAAGCTCCCTAATATGTGCCTCACCTTCATCCAGCTCTTCTTCATCAGGTGACAATTACTAGAGAGCCGCAAAGTTGTCATTTTTCCACTCCACTAGGTGACAGCCGCCAAAGATGATTCGACGACCCATTTCATTGATCCCTAAATTTTGTAAGAAGATCTAGAGATTGCCCAAGTCATCTTTGTCCAAAGAGAGCCTTTGAGGTTATAAACATTATACGACAATGTTCTCAAACACTCAAGATTTTGATGCATCATCGATGTATTGTCATTGTAATGTCAAAACTTTGTTTTCCTACTTTCAACTTAATTCTCACTTCATTTAGTAATAATTTATGTGATTTAAATTTACCAAGCTATATTTCATTCAATTACGATTTTTTTAGCTTTTATAAATCTTAATTTGATCAATTAAATTGTATGTAATCACTTACGTAAGAATCATCGGGTGGAACTCTATTTCTATCTAATTTGCGTTCATTGGGTGCTGATGTCATCTTGACGTCTACATCCTTATTTCCTTTTTTCATGAATTTTAAATATATTTTATTTTCATTTTATAGTATAAAATTTATAAAAAATTATATTCTTTGAGAAAAATTCTGAAAACTTACCTGATATTATATTACATTTTGTGATCGACTTTAAAAATTACTACTATTTTTAGAAATTTTATTAAATTTTAATTGATATATTTGTTGAGAACTAGTTCTAAATATCTAAAAATTAGTATTTTCTAATTTTATAAATTTTAATTTTACATGATTTACTATACAACGACTAAGTCACGTCACTCTTCAATGGGAGAACTTTCTAAAAGGTGTGGTGGTTGCAACCTCCCCACTCTTCAAGAGGAGAGTCCTTAGAAGGTGTGATGGTTCCAACTTCTCACACTTCAAGAGGAAAGTCTTTAGAAGGCGCAATGGTTGTAACTTACTACTACTCAAGGAGGGAGTCTCTAGAAGGTGCGAGGGTTCTTAATCCCTCAAGAGTGTTGGTTGATGCATATAAATAAGAGAGATAGAGAGTCTAAGAGGACATCATTAGAAGTTAGGTGATAAGTCTTCATTATCATGAGTTAATAATTAGTAAATAATATAGTTTTAGCCTTAACTCATAATAAATAGACTTATATTTGTGTTGAAGTGTGAAAACTGGTTTCAGTTGATTAATGTGAATTTTTGAGTAATTATGTGATTTTATATAAATTTATATAATTTTTACAGTCTTAGTTTTGAGATAAATAAAGAAAAATAAATAAAAATAAAAATAAAATAAAATAGAGGGGACCCGTCGGCTAGCTGGGCCCACAAGCAAGTCAGAAGCACAATCGTGGAGTAGTTGTGAGTAGGGGCTCGAGCGACTTAGACCGATAGGGGCACGTGTGCACCACTCCCCTTCCATGTCACTAGTGGCCAGCCGACTGTGGGGCAAGAGTGGTTGTACGCGCATGAGAAAGGGACTTACTTGCAAATGTAAAATTACTATATATTCACCTGAAACTTTGACTCACAAGCAATGTGGGACTAAACCTGCGTCACACCTTCCCCAAAAAGGGGTAGGCAACTAACATGGGTTCAAACCCTCCTAGAGCCAAAACTCATTTTTTTTTATCTGATTATCACAACTTTCCTATAAATTGTCAGTGAATTATTAAGTTGCTAGAATCGCTGGATCATCGACGAAAATCTCATCAATGCGATTCGTGAAGTATTGTTACTAAAATTACTAAATGATTTACGATAAGAGGATTGCGAATATATCGAGTAAGGCATCTTCGATTGATCGACGAACAAGCCATTGTCGGGAAGAGGACGATTCATTAGGAGACAAGTTGTCACCTCTTGAGAGTGTACTGGATGCGATGAAGAGCCTCCTCTTGTTGTGCAAACCCGAGGATGAAACTCCCTAACATGTGCCTCACCTCCATCCAGCTCCTCTTCGTCAGGTGACAATCGTGAGAGAGTCACAAAGTCACCATTTTTTTGCTCCGCCAGGTGACAATAGTTGGAGACAATTCGACAACCCATTTCATTGATCTGTAGACTTCGCAAGGAGATCTAGAGATTACTCATGTCATTCTTGTCCAAGGAGAGCCTTTGAGGCTATGGATACTACACAATGATCCTCTTGAATGCTTAGGATTTCGGTGCATTTCGATGTATCACTATTGTAACATTAGAATTTCATTTTTCTACTTTCAACTTAATTTTCACTTTATTTACTGATAACTTGTGTGATTTAAATTTACTAAGATATACTTCATTTTATTATAATTCTTCTAGATTTTATAGATTTTAATTTGATCAATTAAATCATCTAGAATCACTTACGTAAGAATTTTCAGGTGGAATTCTATTTTCGCTCGATTTGTGTTCGCCAGGTGCTGACATCATCTTGACGTTTGCACCCTTATTTCCCTTTTTTGTGAATTTTAAATATATTTTATTTTGATTTCTTAGTGTTAAATTTATAGAAAATAATATTCTTTGAGGAAAATTCTAAATAATTACCTGATATTATATTACATCCTTGTGATTGACTTGGAAAATTATCGCTATTTTTAGAAGTTTTATTGAATTATAATTAATATATTTGTTCAGAAATATTTCTAAATATCCAAGAATTCATATTTTCTAGTTTTATAAATTTTAAATTTGCATGATTTACTATACAATGACTAAGTCACATCATTAGGGCTAGATTAAGAACCACCTACATCATTTTTTTAGATAGATATGTATGAGAACTTCATGATGTCATTAAGACAATCATAGTTGTAAGTCTTTTATTTTTCATCAGTTCAAGCACACTTTGTTCTTTGTGAAATTTTCTTCTTCTTCTATTACAACTCTTGTCCAAATTTTAAATTCAAATCTCTATTCATTGTCAACTCGATTTTCTTTTATTTTCAAATTCATACTTGAATGAAAGGATGTGATCCTTCTCCATATGATATGAAAAGGATGCAATGTTCTTGCTATAATCAGGATTCAATACACATTGATAAAATATTCATAGCTTAGATTCATTCCAAGTGGCTTAGATCCTTGCATTCCCTCTATGTGACATGGATGGAATGTAAAGATTATCATTACAAATTTCATGTGAATTTACAATTCATTTTATTCTTGATCTTGATTCCAATTTCGAATTTAGTTAACATGTTGTTCCATTTAATTCATTTCTTCTGTTATTTTTTTCTAAAATTACTTCCTATATTTTAACCTTCAATTTTTTACTTATGTTTGCATTAATTTCCTTTAGAGTTCCATTGAATATAGTTTAAATCTTTATTACTTACAGTCTTTTATTTTTCTCTTCTTCCCCTTGTTGTGACATAAGGAGAGGAAAATAGATTATCAATTATTTGATTTTACTTTTCACATCAATTTTAATTGTTTTTAGAATTTTAATTACTTCATTTAGACATTAATCTCTTTTAGAGGTTTAATATTTTCATATCTAGGAATTAATCACCTAAAATCTTTTCAATAATTCATATTCTTAGGAAAATAGGAGAGAACCTACTCTAATAGCACTATTCCTAAGGAGATAATCAAACTCACTAATTATACTAAAATATAATTAGGGATGATGTTAGTATAACTAATAATAATAAATAAGTAAATAATTAAATACTAAAATTGAGTGTTCTTTTGTCAACGACTAGAATACACCATTTAGCTACACCTAGACTCTATCATTTCTACATATCAGAAACTATCTATTGCATGTCCTAATTTGTGGGTTATCCTTATTTCTTAGATTGCTTCATTTTTACAATACATATCATTGATATAGAGATAGTTTAGAGTTATTTGATCTCCTCACACTCATAGAGGAAAAATAATGGTTTATACCATTCAAGGCAAAATATGTGTGGTTCCTCTTAACATGACCCAGCTCTACTTCTAATTGGCATCATGACCTTCGATATAGGGCAAGAGCACATCATCATTTGATGGCTGAGTGAGCTTACATATGTTAAAAATAGTTGAGATGTCTTCAATATCTTTAAGCTCCTCATTTAAGTGCTCTAAACTATATCTAGAGCTGCCCAATGTAACTACTGAATTTAAACTCACTCGGAGAAATCTCCTCTAAACTAAGGAATAGGATGCAATCATAAAAATATAGATGTGGAGTACAGTGACACCAGAAGTGAATGTGAACTACCTATTTCTACCCACATAAAAAGATATTTGAAAGTAAACAAATCAAACATTCTCAAAAGGGGATGATGAAGTCGAGATATACAAAACTATCATCCAAGCTTCTAGTGTGATGTAAAGTAGTAGAACAACCTGATAAATGCGCCCACAATTCCATGCATTTGATATGAGTTTAACCATCTACATCCTGAATTTATCATTTTATCAACTAAATTATGTGAATATTCTTGAACTTTATATGAATATTATTCTATACATATTATGGTTGTTTTTGATTGACTATGCTTGACTTCTATGAAGTCAAGTAATTTTATTACTGATGAATATTCTCAAGTTCCATGTGTGTAGAAATTTACAAGAGCTAAATGGAATAACTACCAATAGGCTGGAGCTCTCGATGGGATTTTAAAGCTTATTTGTTGGGCCAGAATGGACCATTTCTAATTTTTGGCTTCAAGAGGAGCACGAAATTCAGGTCATGGAGAGCTCTCAACTAATCAGAGAAAAAAGGAAGAAATGGCATGAAGAAAAGTTGATAAATGATAAGAGGGCATTTTAGTAATTATACCCCATATATAAATACTCTCTTCCTCTCTCTTTCCCACCCTATTCTAGACATGCTCTAGTAGTGGCTAGCTAGCAGGACAAGGTATTTTCCAAGATCCAAGGTATCCACCCTAATAGATGTAAGTCATTTTGAAGCGTTCACCCTTGTTCTTCCCCTTCTTGCAGTGAAAAATATCATATCCTGGCGGAATATAAGGATCCTAAAGGAGGAAGAAATCTTGAGGACTCAAAATACAAACATCAGCACCAATCTTTTCTCTATACCTCTAAACCGTCCTCCTCCTTCCACCATCTCCCATTGCTCTATCTTCCATTCTGCCTCCTCCAGCCGCTCCACATTTTCCTCTATTGTTGCCCACCATTCCTTCTCTCTCTGCCTTCTCTTGTAACCCTCTTCTCTCCCTACCATTGGGCCTGTGTAAGATTCGAGTGGCCACCGCTCACTGCCATGCATCTGTCGACAGCCACTGCGTGCCCACCACCCTCTCTCTCTCTCAGCTTACATACATAACCGAAATTCCCAAATTTTGGTTAAGTTTGGAGGCAGTCAAGGGGGGCCTGCATAACCCCTTGCCCCGACCACTCACTTAGCTGCCAACCGCCAACTGCACACAAGGTAAAATTAATTATTTCTTTTTGCATTTTTAAAAAAGAGAGCAAATTAAAAATTGAGACAAATACTAAAAAAAATGCGAATTAATCTTTTGCTGCATTTTCTACACTAAGTAAAATTACAAAAATTTCTAGAAAAAATCTATTAAGCTATCTAAAATCTTGAAAAAAAAGTCCCAAAGAATGAATTCCTAACTTCTAAATCTATTTCTACCACTTCAAAGACTCAAAGATCTGAAATTGAACTCCTACCTCCCTGTGGATCAACTCCTTGCCCTATGTTTGATATAGAGTAATTAAGTGAAAACTTTCTATAAATAAGGTTGGTTAAATCTGAATTGAAACAGTGACACAAAAACCCCTAAATTTAGATTTATCAATTGGCGCCATTCCTAGGGAGGCAAGCAAATTTAGTTTCTGATTTTTTGGAGTCTGAAAATTTTTCTTGTCTTTCACATTTTCTATTTTTGAGTGAACTATTAAGTATAGGGAATTTTCTCAAAGGAGAAGAATGAGAGGGCAATGTTTGGTGACTTCAAACCTTTTCTTTTAAGACTTTTTTTGCATTATTTTCTGGTCTTGACTATGTATGCAGAGTAGAAGGTCTAAACGACCCCCTCTAATGAGCTTGGAAATAGTGGGAAAATATCAACATTTTGAGGAGATTGTTGAGGAAACGATTGAGAAGTCTAAGGAAAGGTTTGAGGAGATGGGTGAAGTGCCTAACAATCAGAACAGAGTGATGAGACTTAAAGAGTTTTATGAACGAGTTGAGAGCCAAGCTCAGCTCAAAATCTATGGCCCCATAGATGTTAATGTCAACTTCAAGATTGACCCTCACCTCTACTAAATTTTACCTTCATTTTATGAGAAAATGAATGAGGACACTTATGCTTATCTTTATAAGTTTATTGAGAAATGTGATTCTTCTAATATTGCCTCAAATGCTTTAAAAATGGGAATGTTCCCATTTACATTGAAGGACAAGGCCAAGGATTGGTTCAAAACTGTGGGGATAATCAAAAATTGAGAAGTGTTTCCTTCAAATGTTTTAGTTAGTAGGAAAGGCTAATACTTATAGGAAAGCCATTAGAGATTTTTCTCAATGGAGTGATTCATTCAGCGAGGCATGGGATAGATTAAAGGAAACCAAGAAGTGCCCTCAACATGGCATCCTTGAATGGAAAATTGTTCAGATATTCTATGAAGGGGTATATGATCATGAGAGGAGGTTACTTGATATTGTTAGTGGTTGAACATTCATAGATAAAACAATAGATGTAGCCACTAGTATTAGTGACAAGCTTGTAGACAGTTGAATTTATCAACAAGGTTTGAGCCATAATGGGAGTAATATAGAGCTCAAGCGTGGAGGATTGATCGACGTGAAGGTAGTGGAACCTGATATGTGGAAGGATAGGATGGAACAGGATTTAGGGAAAGTAGGTAAGGTTGTGGAGGAGCTTTCCTAACATGACTTAGTCGTTGTATAGTAAACCACGCAAATTTAAAATTTATAAAACTAAAAAATACGAATTTTAGATATTTAAAAATATTTCTAAAGAAATATATCAATTATAATTGAATAAAAGTTGTAAAAATAATGGTAATTTTCCAAGTCGATCACAAGGATGTAATATAGTATCAAGTGATTATTCAGAATTTTTCTCAAAGAATACTATTTTCTATGAATTATATACTAGAAAATGAAAAGAAAATTCATTTAAAATTCTCAAAAAAGGGAAATAAGGGTGCAGACATTAGGATGATGTCAGCACCCAGCGGACGTAAATCGAGTAGAAATAGAGTTCTACTTAGCAATTCTTATGTAAGCGATTATAGATGATTTAATTGCTCAAATTAAAATTTATAAAAGCCGGAAGAATCGTAATTAAATGATGTATAGGTTGGTAAATTTTAAATCAAAAAATTATCACTAAATGAAGTAAAAATTAAGTTGAAAGAAAGAAAACAGCGCTTCAGCGTCGCGGTAGTGATGTGTTGGCAATACACTAGAATCTTGAGCATTCAAGAGGATTGTCGTGTAGTGTTCACGGCCTCAAAGGCTCTCTTTGGACAAAGACCACGTGAGCAATCTCTAAATCTCCTTGTGAAGTTTAGAGATCAATGAAATGGGTCATCAAATCGTCTACGATGGCTGTCACTCGGTGGAGTAGAAAAATAACAACTTTGCGGCTCTCCAGTGGCTATCACTCAACGAGAAGAGTTGGATGGAGGTGGGGTGTGTGTTAAGGAGCTTCATCTTCAGGTTTGTGTAGTAAGAGGAGACTCTTCATCGCATCTGATACATTCTTAAGAGGTGTGATAAGTTTTCATTATCATGAGTTAATAATTAGTAAATAATATAGTTTTAGCCTTAACTCATGATAAATAGACTTATATTTGTGTTAAAGTATGATTTGTGGTTTTCAGTTGATTAACGTGAATTTTTGGGTAATTATGTGATTTTATACAATTTTTATAGTCTTACTTTTGAGATAAATGAAGAATAAGAAATAAAAATAAAATATTGCAAAATTGGGGGGACCCACCGGCCAACCGGGCCCGCAAGCGGGTCGGAAGCACAATCGGGGAGTAGCTGCGAGTAGGGGCTTGAGCGGCTTAGCTTTGACTAATAGGGAGACATGTGCGCCACTCCCCTTCCACGTCACCGGTGACCAGCCAGTTGTGGGGCAAGGAGTGGTCGTACACACGAGAGAAGTCACTTTGCTTTAAAAGCTAACATTACTATATATTCACCCGAAAAATCGGCGCACAACTGATGTGGGACTAAACCCGCGTCACAGCTTCCTCAAAGGCGGGCAATTGCCGCAAGTTTGAATCCTACCAAAGTCAAAATTCATATATTTTTATCTGATTATCGCGACTTTCCTGTAGATCGCCGGTGAAGGATTAAGCAACGAGAATTGCTGGATCATCGGCGAAAATCTCGTCAACGAGATTCGCGGAGCATTGCTACTAAAATTGCTGAACGATTCGCGATAAAAGGATCGCGAATCCATCAAGTAACTCATCTCCGATAGATCGATGAACAAGCTGTCGTCGGGAAAAGGACGATCCGCCGGGAGACGAGTCGCCACCTCTTGAGAGCGTACCAGATGTGATGAAGAGCCTCCTCTTGCTGCGCGGATTTGAGGATGAAGCTCCTTGACACGCGCCCCACCTTCATCCAGCTCCTCTTCGTCGTGTGACAGCCGCCGAAGAGCCGCAAAGTCGCCATTTTTCCGCTCCGCCGGGTGACAGCTGCCGGAGACGATTTGACGAGCCACTTCATTGATCTCTAGACTTCGCAAGAAGATCTAGAGATTGCCCATGTCATTTTTGTCCAAGGAGAGCCTTTGAGACCATGGACACTGCACAACGATCCTCTCGAACGCTCAAGATTCTGGTGCATTGTTGACGCATCACCGTCACGACACTAGAATTCTGTTTTCTTGCTTTCAATTTACTTTACGCTTCATTTAGTGATAATTTTTGTGTTTTTAATTTACCAAGATATACTTTCTTCTATTACGATTCTTCCAAGTTTTACAGATCTTAATTTGATCAATTAAATCGTCTGTAATCACTTATGTAAGAATCGCCGGGCGCTGACATCATCCTGATGTCCATGCCCTTATTTCCCTTTTTTGTGAATTTTAAATATATTTCCTTTTTACTTCTTAATATAAAATTCATAGAAAATCGTATTCATTGACAAAAATGCTGAATAATTACCAGATATTATATTACATCCCTATAATCAACTTGGAAAATTATCGCTATTTTTGGAACTTTTATTGAATTATAATGGATATATTTATTTAGAAATACTTTTAAATATCTGAAAATTCGTATTTTCTAGTTTTATAAATTTTAGATTTGCGTGATTTAACATACAACGACTGAGTCACGTAAAGGTGACGACTCATCTCCCGACAGATCGTTGACGTGACTCAGTCGTTGTATATTAAATCACGCAAATCTAAAATTTATAAAACTAGCAAATACAAATTTTCAGATATTTAGAAGTATTTCTAAATAAATATATCAATTATAATTCAATAAAAGTTCCAAAAAAAGCGGTAATTTTCCAGGTTGATCACAGGGATGTAATATAATATCTGGTAATTATTCAGAATTTTTCTCAATGAATACAATTTTCTATGAATTTTATACTAGGAAATAAAAAGGAAATATATTTAAAATTCACGAAAAAAGGGAAATAAGGGCACGGATGTCAGGATGACCTCAGCACCCGGCGAACGCGAATCAGACGGAAACAGAGTTCTGCCCAGGGATTCTTACGTAAGCGATTACAGATGATTTAATTGATCAAATTAAGATCTATAAAAGGCGGAAGAATCGTAATAGAACAAAGTATATCTTGGTAAATTAAAAACACAAAAATTATCACTAAATGAAGCGTAAAGTAAAATGAAAGCAGGAAAACAGAGTTCTGGCGTCGCGACGGCGATATGTCTACGATGCACCGGAATCCTGAGCATTCGGGAGGATCGTCGTGTAGTGTCCACGGCCTTGAAGGCTCTCCTTGGACAAAGACGACGTGGGCAATCTCTAGATCTTCTCGCGAAGTCTAGAGATCAATGAAGTGGGTCGTCGAGTTATCTCCAGCGGCTGTCACCCGGCGGAGCAGAAAAACGGAGACTTTGCGGCTCTCTGGCGGCTGTCACCCGACGAAGAGAAGCTGGATGGAGGTGGGGCGCGTGTTAGGGAACTTCATCCTCAGGTCCGCATAGCAAGAGGAGGCTCTTCATTGCATTTGGTACGCTCTCAAGAGGTGGCAACTCGTCTCCCGGCGGATTGTCCTCTTCCCGACGACGGCTTGTTCGTCGATCAATCGGAGATGATTTACTCGATGGATTTGCGATCCTTTTATCGCGAATTGTTCAGCAATTTTAGTAGCAATGCTCCGCGAATCGCGTTGATGAGATTTTTGCCGATGATCCAGCGATTCTCGTTGCTTAATCCTTCACCAGTGATCTGCAGGAAGGTCGCGATAATCAGATAAAAATATATGAATTTTGACTCTGGGAGGATTCGAACCCGTGCCAGTTGTCCGCCTATGAGGAAGATGTGACGCAGGTTTAGTCCCACATCGGTTGTGCGCCGATTTTTCGGGCGAATATATAGTAATGTTAGCTTTCTAAGCAAAGTCACTTCTCTCGCATGTACGACCACTCCTTGCCCCACAGCCGGCTGGCCACCAGTGACGTGGAAGGGGAGTGGCGCACTTGTGCCGTCTATGAGTCCAAGCTAAGCACTCGAGCCCCTACTCGCGGCTACTCCCCGACTGCACTTCCGACCCACTTGCGGGCCCGGCTGGCCGGCAGGTCCCCCATTTTGTAATATTTTATTTCTTTTTCTTCATTTATCTCAAAAGTAAGACTGTAAAAATCATATAAATTCGTATAAAATCACATAATTACCCAAAAAATCACATTAATCAACTGAAAACCACTTTTCACACTTTAACATAATTACAAGTCTATTTATCACGAGTTAAGGCTAAAACTATATTATTTACTAATTATTAACTCATGATAATGAAGACTTATCAATCGTCCTCTTCCCGATGATGACTTATTCGTCAATCAATTTGAGATGCTTTACTCGATGAATTCACGATTCTTTTATCACGAATTGTTCAATAATTTTAGTAAAAAAGCTTTGCAAATCCCATTGACGAGATTTTTGCTGATGATCTAGTGATTTTGGTTGCTTAATCCTTCACCAGCAATTTGTGAGAAAGTCACGATAATCAGATCAAAAAATATGAGTTTTGGCTCTAGGAGGATTCAAACCTTTGTCGGTTGCCCGCCCTTTCTAGGGAAGGTGACACGGGTTTAGTCCCACATCGCTTGTGTGATGATTTTTCAGGCAAATATATAGTAATGTTACATTTCAAAGTAAGTCCCTTGCCCCACAGCCGGCTGGCCACCAGTGACGTGGAAAGGGAGTGGCACAAATGTGCCCCTATCGATCCAACCCGCTTGAGCCCCTGCTCGCGGCTACTCCTTGACTGCACTTCTGACATGCTTGTAGGCCTAGCTGGCTAGTGGGTCCTCCTCATTTTTTGTCATATTTTTATTTTTTATTTCTTTTTCTTCATTTATCTCAAAAGTCAGAATATAAAATTTATATAAATACATGTAAAATCACATAATTACCCAAAAATTCACGTTAATCAACTGAAAACAACTTTTCACACTTTAACACAAATATAAGTCTATTTATCATGAGTTAAGGCTAAAACTATATTAGTTACTAATTACTAAGTCATGATAATGAAGACTTATCACACCCCCCAACTTAAATCATTGTTAGTCCCTTAGCAATGAAATTACGAAAATAAAAATTTACAAATCTCAAATATCATATTTCAATACAAAAAAAAATAATAATTAAAAATGATGCACTTTTAGACACTTTGGATTCTTATATCAAGTATTTAAGAATGATCTCAAGCACTTAAATGTTTAAACACTCCTTGAAATAACAATCTAGACTTCACTTCTTCTATTCACATCTTTATCACTTCTTCACTTATAGATATATTTACAAGATGTTTCAATTATCAATACTCATCCAAGAATAATATTGATCCTACATTTCTCTTTCTCTATAGCTTGATTTTTGAAGTTTGCACTATATTTCTTCCTTCTTTTTTTATATATATATATAGTAGATAAGTAGCTTTTTCTATAGACAAATTTCAACAATAAGAATGATGTCTCACACCCTCCATGTCTACTCTTCATTTTCAGGGCTTTCACTTTATCCACTTATTTTGTAACAAGTGTTTTTCTATGCACGATTTTTGACAATGAGAATGATGTCTCACCCTCCATGTGTACTCTTCATTTCTAGACATTTCACATTGCTCTCTCTTTTTTTTTTTTTCGAAATAAGTGATTTCTCCTCACAAGTCCTATAGATGAGGGTGCAAAAATCTCCATTAAACTCAAATGATCAATCAAATTTTCAAATCAAGTAAATACTATCCATCAAGATCATGAAGTGAAAATTTGTAAAATTAAATCCATGTTATCTATCATGTATCTAAGGGGTATTCCAACATTTCATGCTACTAGATCATTCTTTTGACTCAATAATAATCTTCTTAGTATCTTTTGGTATCAATCAATCGAATTGATTTCATTTTTCCTACATGAAATATCATGTAAGAAATTTGTAAATTAGATAGTTCTGACAATTCTATTTTCTATTTTCAGTTCTATTTTTAGCAACAATAAATTTGTCAAAAATAAATCAAAACTATCCTCTTTATAGCTGTAATTTCGAATTTCAATAATATATGTCTAGGGGATTGAAATGTGAGAAAAGGGTCTCTAGAGTTTTAAATTTCGGGTTGTTTTTTTTGTTTGCTATTTTTGACAATTTGTTATTCGACAAAAAACCAGAAAATAGATGTTGCAGTTTTTTCAAAAAAAATTTATAATTTTTTTAGTTGCTGTTCTTAGTTGAATAAAATGCAAACACATGTTCTTAATCATACTACATAATAAATTAATAATTAATACTTCACCCCCAACTTAAAAATGACATTGTCTTCAATGACACAGAAAAATCGAAACAGAATATGCAAAAAATATAATTTTCAAGTGAAGCATGCATATTTGTAGAGTTAAGCATTAAAAATATTGTCATAAATAATAAAGCTCAGAAAGACATCACCTCAACCTTATTTTTAATTTTCCACTTCATCTTACACTCCTCCTGCACTTTTTTGAAAAACAAATATAGAAACAAGTATTGCAAAATTCTAAGAAAAATAGAGCTTAAAAAAAAATCAAACAGAATGAAATAAATACTATGGGTTGCCTCCCATGCAGCGCTAAATTTAATGTCTTCAGCTGGACAGCTCTTAGATCATATAAGATGATCTATGGCTATCAAAATATATTTGTATCCCAAGGTAAGTTTCATGATATTCATTTTAGATTTAGCATAAATTTATATACTTCATATATATACTTTGACATATTTTCAGCCAAAACAA